GTTATTCTGGTGTCTAATAGATTTCGTTTGCATATGTTTTTTTTTTTTGTTTTTGTTTTTTTGGTTGGGGGTATGCAATATGTCAAATATGTGAAAAGGAAAAAACTAATGAAATCTATGCTTTTTAGGGGTGTAAAAGACGTTTTTTGTGTGTGCTGTACAGTCAATTTTTAGACATAATGTTACAATTATTATTAGTAGTAGTATTAGCATATTTATCTTCATCATTATTTATTATTATTATTATACTAATCGCATTTTTATATATCCATGCAAAATGATTGCATGATTAAAAATATTGCATTTTTCGGGTTTAAATATTTGTATGCTGTTTTATTAAATGATGTGGTTCCATGAGAGCGATAGAAAGGATCGTTGTTGATAAATAGCAGATCTGCACAGATACAGTGAGCAATGCGGTCTGTTGTGTAACACTGACACTGACATTAAACCACTTCACACGGATTTCTCTGAATCACGGCTTCTAGAAGAAAAACGCTTTCTTGGCAGACTCGACGTGCAAATGATTATTTGACCGATAACCTTTAAGATTTCGTAGGGTTCCCATCACAGATGGTTGGCAGTTCATGCAGGTCAAATGCAGGGTGTTAGTGACACCAGCTGTGGATTTCCTTCTGACGTAAATGCTTGTTTTTGTTTTTTTCAGCTTTTATTAAAGAAAGGAAGATGGGCTTAAACGACTTCATCCAGAAGCTTGTTTCCAACCCTCCCATCTGTCAACAGTAAGTATCCCAATATTTAATAATAATATGAACATGGAAATAAACAATTGCATGATGCTTTTACAGTTACAAGTATATGTGTGAACCGAAAAAGGCAAAATCAACAAATAAGAGCAGAGATGATGATTTCTGTTTCAAAATCAGTAAGAAAGTGGTTCAGGGAAAATTCCAGCCTTCATTCATAAAGGCAACCCTTTGACCTGTAGTGTATTTATATAGGCCTTCATTGAGGTGACTGTACTAGAGGATGTAATCCCATCATCTGAGTTTAGCTGTGCCTTCTGCTAATTGTGCAGGTTAATCTGTACCGGCGAGATAAAGCCAAGCACCAGAATAGTGTTCTACGAAAAGCTGTTCAGGCCGTCGCTTGGCCGCAGTAAGCACCTTTGAGAAAATCCCTAATGTCCCCTAGACAAGGATAAGGGCCTAATTCAATTAAGTGCGGCCCATTTGGTCTTAGAGTCATTCAGGTCGGACCAGCGGAAAGTTTCTCACCGCGTCATCTCATATGCTCCACAATATTCAGTCAAAGAGATTGTGTAAAAAGTTGAGATTTCAGCTCTCAATAGTCTAAAAGTCATCATTTCGGGCTGAGAAAGGTTTCAATAAAATATCATTTGATCTAAATTGTATTAGTAGATGCATCCATTCTCATAATCTTGCACAAGGAACAGCTTGTCTTGTCAGGTCAAAAAGACATTTTGAATTTCCAATAAACCTGAAACAGCCCCTCATAAACTTCACCAACACTACCATCTATCTGCCTGCAAACGCATTACAGGAAATGATTCATTTAAAGGAAAGTTCTGGATTAAATACATTCACAAAAACAAACATTTTGACTCATTTTAAAGAGATTTTGGAACAAATCCACTTATTGGAAGTATGTTGGGCAATCGTTGCATAATCATGCGCCAATAGATTTCCATTGTTTTATTTTGCTTTATACAAACTGTGGGTCTTGAACAAAGTTAATCCATAACATTTTTGAATCTCTTTTCCTTAGCGCCGAGGTTGGTTCGTTCTTAAAAATCGATGAGAACCAGAATGAGGAGCTGGAGGAGAATCACCTGTATTTGGCCAATCCCAGGAGCTCTTTGGCTGAGGAGACTCAGTGCGTAGTTACTCTTCATTTGTTTGGTTAATTGGATTCCAGTCAGCCAGGCTGCTTGTTGTTTGCATTACTAATGTTGTTTAATTTCCTTAACAGGATAAAACCTTCGGATTTCGACTACTTAAAGATCATTGGGAAGGGGAGCTTTGGAAAGGTGGGCACAAACAGCTTTTTAATAAGGTCAAGATGTCAACACTTATGTCATATCTTCAAGTGAGAATGCTAATGGCATCGTATTTCACAGGTTCTGCTCGCAAAGCACAAGGAAAATGAACAATACTATGCTGTGAAGGTGCTGCAGAAGAAAATCATTCTGAAAAAGAAAGAGGTAAGACCCAATGCGGTGTTCACATAGATGTGAAAGCACTTTGCCACAATTGCTGTATAGTAACAATTAACACTTAATATGTTTTTCAGCAAAAGCATATCATGGCAGAAAGGAGTGTATTAATGAAAAATATCAAGCATCCATTCCTGGTGGGGCTGCACTACTCTTTCCAAACCACAGACAAACTGTATTTTGTGCTAGACTACGTCAATGGAGGCGAGGTTAGTAAACAATGCATTCATACTGTACACTCATATAGCTCAAAAGAGGCCGCACCTCGGCTCAAAATAGCTGACTGACTTTGTATGTTTTTTTTTTTCCCTCCTGCAGCTGTTCTACCACCTCCAGCGTGAGCGGGTGTTTTTGGAGCCCAGGGCGAGGTTTTATGCTGCTGAAATCGCTAGTGCACTCGGTTACCTCCACTCACTGCACATAGTTTACAGGTATG